AAATCTCTCTCTCTCGTAGTCTGCAGATACTGAGAAGTCAGGTAGCAAGAGGGTGCGAAAAAATTCTTCTTTTTCCTCTTCTGAGTGTGTGTGTGTATGTGTGTGTGTGTGTGTGTGTGTGTGTGTGTGTGTGTGTGTGTGTGTGTGGGAGAGAGAGAGAGAGAAAGAGAGAAGAGTGCAGGTAAGTCCCCAACTGTGTGGCCCACCCCATGACACTTTCATGTTTCTGATGAGCAAAATCGAATGAATCTACCGCTAGAACATAGAAATATACACTGCCACTTTTTTTTTTTTTTTTTCATGAACCGAACCCCTCAACCCGTAGTCCGCCACGTACAGTGACGTGCTCATATGGGGGAGTGAGTCGCAATCAACGAATTCGCGCCACGTGGCGCGTTGTGCGTTTGAAACCAGCCCACGACCGTTTGAATGCGGGCGTTCGAACGTGAACGTGCGTTCAACGTGTTCAAACGGTCACACAGCGCATAATAATCTTAAGTGTTGATCATCTTGTTGATGAATTGCACAAGGAAGTCGATTTTCATATCCTCTCCTTCTAATACTATGCAATGCTGAAGAGTTTTCAATAGCTCCCACTCCAACACTGCATGACCCTTTCCTAAAAACACTAACTTCATCGCTAGACAAAAGTGATACAACATCTCTATCATTGTGTTCGACCCCCTCTCCATTCCTTCGTACATGACTTTTTCTTTCGGCTTCGACCTGCCATTTTCCACTTCGTTGGTAAAAAATTCTTCTTCACTATATCTGTCATCATCTTTGGTTTTCGCTCTCGTTGTGCAAGTGAGGAAATGCCAGTCACCTGAGGAGAAGAAGATAATCCTTCTGATTGGATATCTTTGAACAACGAAATCGTATTGCAATGGTAGTCGTCGTCATTAAGGTACACAAGGACCATAATCCAGTTTACATCCTTCACTAACAAATTTGCAATCTTGTAGGGATGTCGCACCTTCTATTGTTGTTGTGGAGTCCACTTGGAGAGTAACATGTGTATATCCCATAACACCACCTGTCTGATAAAAGTTGACTCATAAGAGCAAGGAATGAAGCGTCACAATGTCTAATACTTTCCTTCCTGCGTCTGCATAAATTTTCACAAACCTTAAAAAAACGGCTCCGTCTACGTGCCTATTTGAGTCGGATGATATAAATCAAGCACCACGGGGTGACACGTTAGATGTCGGATGACCCTATAGCTGTGTAACACGCTGTGTGTCGTAAGGGGCTCCATTTGTACGACCGTATGAATGGCCGTGTACAAAGTGATGGAACCCCCCCAAAAGAAAAAAAAAAAACAAAAAAAACAAAAAAAACGATGTAGAGCTTTTTGTGCTCTAGACCCCCGCGTTGCCTATGTCTATTGCCCGCCCTTGTGCCACCCAAGTTCCCGTAGCACTCCCCCCCCCCGTTTTTGTTTTTCCCTCATCGGGCGTGGGACCTCGGACGGATGGCCAACCGGTTGTCGGATCGGACAGTCCCGGATGTCTGATCTGGTAACGTAGCTTAACTTATCAATATTTTTCATTAGTATATACAGTCAAATGTACTAAACTAGGTCAAATTTAATCCAGGTATACTCCCATTAAAAACACACACACACACAATGTTGAACCCAACTTGAGCAGTGAGCACTTTACAATTTATTAACGACATGAACAAAAAACACAGAAAAAAACAATCCATAATTATTATCACGTTGTGGTGGCATGTGTGCGTGCATTTCTCCTCGTAGTCTCTTTCTTTCTGAGAGACGAAACAATATAGCTAATAGCTATTATGATTGCCAGAAGAAGAAAAACCGTATGTTGTACATGATGGGACGTATGCCCTGCTTTCCAGAAGGTGTATCTCCCTCATAATAGACTAGAGCACTGGGTGACTCTACTTCTAAAAGGTGGTCACATCACACCTAACATGACCTTTGTCTAGCTTAAAAAAAAAAAAAAAAAAGTTAACAAACTGCACCGCATTGACACGACAATTATTTTACAGTTAAAATATGTTTCCTATTTATTTTTTTAACAAATTTTTCATTGAAAGATCTCAACCTCATCTAACATGTTATTCGTTAAAACAGTACATTATTCCGTATACTATTTTAAAAGGAATTCAAGACAGCGTTGTCCGGTGCAGCATTCCAGACTCGCACACATCTGAACCAGTAGTAAAGTCACTTATGAGCCAGAGATACAGTGTGAGTTACTTTCGAGTGGCACACGGAGTTGAGCATCGGACACATCCGAACCAGGAGTAAAGTCACTTATAAGCCAGAGACACAGTGTAAGTCACGTTCGAGAGACACACTGAGTTGAGCATTGGACACATCCGAATCGGAAGAGTAGAATAAGTTGAACTCACATATGTGAGAAGCACAACGAGTCGAAGTTGTCCACACACGAGTAAGCAGATTTGAAGGCCGATGATAGTGATGCACATTCCCAGCATGAACATATCCTTGTAAGCCTGTCTCTCTGGTTACTATATTGAATTCGTACAGTCGATCCCGATGGGAGAGAAGAGTAGTATAAATTTCGCTTGCCCAATATGTATAGGTGGATGTTGAAGTGATGCACATTCCCAGCATGAACATATCCTTGTAAGCCTGTCTCTCTGGTTATTATATGTATATATA